TTGCGCGCAATCGGAGGTGCCAGGCCCAGCGCAGACCCAGCTCAGCTGGCTGGTGTTGACATTTTGTGGAGAGCGTTGCAGCGACCCCTGGCTGGGGGGCGCTTCCAGCGGGGGTGGACGGGGGGGGGGTCGGTGAATATTGAAAGGACCCACATAAGGCCCGTGCACCCCCAACCCGATATTCGGGTCTTCGGTCTGGGTTGGGGCGGTCTGGTAGGTTGTCATTGCCGAGGGCTCTGCTGATGATGATGATGATGATGATGATGATGATGATGATGATGATGATGATGATGATAATGATGATGGTGATGATGATGATGCTGATGATGCTGATGGTGATGATGGTGATGATGATGACGATGACGATGATGATGACGATGATGATGATGCTGATGATGATGATGATGCTGATGATGATGATGCTGATGATGATGATGATGATGATGATGATGATGATGATGATGATGATGATGATGATGATGATGATGATGATGATGATGTGCCATGCGGCGACGCAGTTCGCTTGGCCCCGCGGCCACGCCGCGGCACCAGCGGGAGGCACCGCTCACCAATGTGGGGTGGGGGGGGGGGATTCGCGAAGCTGCTGCCAGCGGTGCCCTGGCCTCGCCGCTGGCGCGTGCGCGCGCGGCGCCCGCTTCGCGTCGGTGCCCCCCGCGCTCGCCGGCCAGGCCCTTCCGCTGCCGCGCGGCGCGGCGCATCAGGGAACAGGAAGTGGGATGCCTCGCGCCGCGATTCCGCATTCCTCTCGGAGTCTCCCCTTCCTCATCAGTGGGCCCAGCTCAGTGCCTGGGGTAGCCCTCGAGTGCCCTCGTCGTTCACGTCGTGCGCGGCTGCTCGTGTCCGCGCTGCCCGGGTCGCGTTATCTGGATATTGAGGTGCGCTTGTTGCGACGCGGGCCATTCTGACGAAGCGCCGCGGTTACCTCCCTCTTGGCATGGTCGGGGGCGGTCGCCGGCGCCCTGACTTCTGGGGGCGCCCCTCTTTCGCGGAGTATTTGGGGCGCGCGGCATCCGCCTCTGGTTCTATTCTGGGCTCCTCGCAGGATGTTCTTGCGCCTGGAAGCCAGGCTCCTTCCGACGCACCGATGGATCCTGCGCCGCAGGCGCGTCGCCCAAAGCTCCAGCGAGCAACGCGGCGGGCCATGGACCGCTCGGGGTCGATCTGGGACCGACCCCAGCAGCGCTTCGCGGCACGGCCGACGAAGTGGTGGCCCAGGTGGCAGCAGATATTCTTAGACGCCCAGTGGGGTGAACTTCAGGTCACGTGGAAGCAGTGGCCAGCATGCCGGACGTGGCCTGTTCTGCGCACTCTAGCTTCTGGGCGGTGCACTCATTTCAGAATCCCGCGCGCAGGAAGCCGCGAGCGATGCGCATATGGTCGCGTAGATCGCGATTGTCTGAGCTAGTATGCTGGATGTAATCGTCATCTGGCTGTTTGTAAAGACGCTCTTGGTATTGGATGGAAGCTGCCCAGTACTTGATGGTAAATTGCAACGCGCGCCGCAGCTGCATCCGATAGAATCACCGTGTTCCTCACGAAGAGCTGGTCTCCTGGATCCAGGCTGCTTCCCGTTCCTTTGCTGGACTCTCGTTCGGTTGGCCGCGATGGTCGCGGGGTTTCTTGTCTCGATGACTTGTGCAGCCCGCATTTGACACCTCAGCCGGGCCGCTCCCCAAGTGGTTCGTGCCCGTCGACTCCCACAGCGACGCTGTCATGGTCACCGACGCCACCAGCGACCACCATGACTCCTCCGACGGTATTAGCGACGCCTCCAGCTGCCTCGTTCCCGACCAAGTCTTCGACGGCGCTTGCCACGCTGCCATCGCGCGCAAGATCTTCGCGAGCACGGCCTGATTTCAGCCCCACGAAGTCCGCAGACGGTCCTTTGGACGCTGCGGACGCGGTTGGAGACGACCATGTTTCTCTTCTTCCGGGTGGCCTCCAGGGTGCCGAAGAGGATGTTCGCGATGTGCTGACGAGGATTGCGGCCCTGCTTGCCTCTAGGGTGCCTTGGGTTCCTTGGGGTTCGATGGTAGTGCGGTGGAAAGCGCGACGCTCCAACGTCAAAATTCAAGCGTCCTGGGGTCTCAGGTCTGGGTTTCTTATGGTAGGTGTCTTGTGGTCGAGGTCCTAAGGTATTCTGAAGCGCTGATCGCCCAGGCAGGCGCGCCTGCCGCAGAGGTGGGAATCGACTGACCTCTGGCTACACTGGCCTCCTCGTCCTCCTCCTCCTCCTCCTCCTCCTCCTCCTCCTCCTCCTCCTCCTTCCCCCCTCCCCCTCCTCCTCCTCCTCCTCCTCCTCCTCTTCCTCCTCCTTGTCGTCCTCCTCCTTCCCCTCCCCTTTCCATTTCCCCCTTATCCCTCCCCGCCTCCCCCTCCCCCTCCGTTGCCCTCCTCCCCTCGCCTTCCGAGCCCTCCGCGCGGTGTCCGCTGCTGCGCGGCACCTTGCCGCGCGGAAGGTGCGGAAGGAGAACCGCCGACGGGGAGGAACCCGCGTGGTTCGGACGTGGCTTGGTCTGCCCTCCTGTGCCTAGCGGAAGATGTCAAGCCGATGGCGGAGGGGAACGACTTTGGTCTTCGTTCGAGGCTCCCTTCGGCAGCATTGTGGCTGTAGACCAGCACCCCGATTGTACGTCCACAGTCTTCGCCAGGCAAGTTGGTCCGATTGGAAAAATTCGGCCCGCAGCTTCAAATCGCACGAAGGCACAATGCTGTCGTTCCAGCCATACCAGGGGCCGTCGGCCCAGCCAGCCTGGGGAAAGAGGGTTTGGGGGCAGGTCGCGGGCGACGGGCGCAGCGTCGGGGGCCCGAAAACGAATGCAGGGGCCACCGCACACGTTGACGAGGGTCCCCGTTTGGGGGTGTCAACCTCGCCTTGGGCGTCGGATCCAGGCACGGATCCGCTACGGATCATATGCGGGTCCGATGTGTGTTGGACGGATCTTTTGCGAATTCGATGGGTTTGAGGCGGATCCGAGTGGTGGGACAAGAGCGTGTGTGGCACGGATCCTGTCGGGCCACTGTACCATTTGTATAATGCACCAACATTACAAAAGTTTCGTCATGAGTTTGACTTTCATCATGTTGTGTTGGTCAGGCAAAATCCCTTTCGGTGAGATGTCGAAAGCCGTGTGTTTAAACGTCGGGATGTTAAGCTATTCCGTTTCATATATATATATATATATAATTGGAGGAAATCCCGGGTTTAGAATTCCCTGATATTTGATCCGGCCCAGCCCGCTAGGATTCTAGGGCGGAAAGGGGGGCAGCTTAGCACGGTCGGGACATAGGGGTCAGCCTTCGCCCGCCCGCTCGCGCGGAAGCAACGGACGAAACTTGCAACTATCATCTTGACGCTCCCACAGAACATGACGAACTTGTGCAACGGCATAGTCCTAACTCAGGGCAGCGAAGGATTCCGAGGACGGCTTGCGCATGGGCACGGGGCAGGCGCGGGGACAGGGGGGTGAGGGGCGCCTTTTTAGAATTTGACCCAGGTGCTCTTCCTGGACCTCCTCCTCCTCCTCCTCCTCCTCCTCCTCCCCCTCTTCTTCCTCCCCTCCCTCCCTCCCTTCCTACCCAGGCGCTGCAAGTAGGCTGGAGCATCATAAGGCCAGGCCAGGCGGTTCCTTCCAGAATTTTCCTCGGGCGGCTGCTTCGGTTCCGACGTTTTGGCCGTCGCGCGCCGTCGCCGGCGTCGTCGTCGTTGGAGGTTCAAACTGTGGTCATGCGTTGATTCAGTCACGTTTCCAGTCCAGGCAAATTCAGTCGCGCTTCCACTCCGAGCAACGCGTACCAACTTTACTTGACTGCTTGTAGGGTAGGCATTGCTGCTGCACAGACGAGTGGCGGTGGTTTGACCACATCGGAAGGCAAGCCCACGCGTCGTTGGTCCCCCTGAAGGGGGTCACAGAATCAGCCTTGCGGCCCCCGTCCGGTGCCCAGAGCCAGCAGGTGCGCGCCACTCGTCATGGCGGCTGGGGCTTGGGAGGAGGAATGGTTTGTGGCCCCGGGCGTGCGACGGCCCATATTTAGATCGGCCCCGGGATGATGTGTCAAGGAAACATATAGGTTTCGGTTGTCGTCGCGATCGCGTGTGATGGCCGCTGCGCCGGCCGTGGCTGCGCACAGGGCCATACTCGGAAAGTTGATCCTGAAGCTCTTTCGACAAGGGTCAATCATGTCGTGCCGCTTTTCCTTTACAGGGACCACATGCGTGCGTACCTTCCGTATGTGGGGGCATGATTTCCTTGTGAGTGACAAGTGCTTCAAGAGACAGCAGGAAGCGAAGGCAGAGCAGGATTCCGCCGCTGGGCGAGGCCCATCGCGTGGACCCGACCAGGATTCGGACCCACACTGATTGGGTGCACCACAGGTCTGCTCAGCCCGCACTGAAACGCTGCCCTCTGCCATGCGATTGTGCGCACGCACGCGCGCAAATCTGTGTATATATATATATATATGTTCATACATCTATCTATATCTCTATATATAAATATATATATGTGTGTGAGTGCATGTATACATGTATAGGTGTGCATATATATATATATATATGTATAGATATATAGGTCAGCGTTTTTGTTTCACAAAACGTGTGCATGAACGCCGATATACAGACGATCACAAAAAGGACCACTGCGGCATACGGCATATATCAGAGAGACCAAATTACCGACGGACGAACAGAAGACGACAGACCAAAACAGACGCGCACACACACACACACACACGAACAGACACACACACACACACCTCGATGCGAACGTTCAAATCACTGCAAGCGCCGCTGAAATTCTGACGGCTGCAAGTGTTGCCTTCTGCAGCTGCCCCCTTCTGCTTCCACTTGCCCCACTTCCAATATCATCCTTCCCCTCCTCTTCCTTCCCCCTTCTTCCCATCCTTAGCAATTTGGACTCAAACTTTTGTCTTTCTTAACGACATCCGCGGGACATTCTAATCACAGCCACATTGATGCGATGAGGGCATTCTCGCTGCTGACGCTGTGCGCACCCCTTGCCGAGGGTATCGCCTTCAACTCGGAGGCCTGGAGCGCTGGTCAGAAGGCCGACAACAAGAGAGTCGACAACGCAGACGGGCGTATTTCGACCCTGTCGCTGGACGCCCAGGAGTTCTTCCGCAACCTCGAGAACGCGTCGTCCAGCAGGCCCGTGCTCATGCCGCCGGGCGACTTCCGGAAGGCGCTGCAGGAGTCGAGTCGCCGCCACGGCAGCTCCAAGCGCCTTGCGTTCGTGGATTCCGTCGAAGGCGTCAAGGATGGCGGGGAGTTCCAGCCCTCGGAGGAGTTCCAGAGGGCTGGCGGGTCCCAGGAAGAGGCGGCCGAGCTGCCCTGGGGCGTCGGCACACCCCGCACTGGCGACTCGTGGCCCGTCCACGAGTACTCGGCCATGCACATGCTCGACGTCCCCCACTGGGTCGAGTACAGCCTGGAAACCGGGGATAACATCCAGACTTTCAGCAACGCCTGGCAGGACGTGAAGCTTATAACGCAGGTCCTCGAAAATGTCACCAATGGCTTCTACCTGGACACCCACGGCGGGGATGGCGAGACGAACAGCTACACGCTCCTGCTCGAGCTCACCGGCTGGCGCGGCCTCATACTCGAGCCTCAAATTTACGAATTCGCAACGCTGTGGGGCAAGCTGCGGAAAGCGTGGATATTCCTCGGGTGCGTTTCGCCGACCGGGAACGCCACAAAGATCGGCTTCGACACCGAGGGCGTAATCGACATGGAGAGTGGTCATTTCATCCACGCCTACAGCATCCCCACCTTCATGGAAGAGCTGGGCGGTCGTAAGACAATTGACTTCTGGGCCGTGCACAATGGGCATTATGAGGCAGAGGTCCTGAATGAGACCTTCTTCTATTCAGGGAAGAACATCGAGTTCGGCGTCGTCTTGGTCCGCTTCGACGGTCGTCGCACTGGTCGTGGGTATCAGTACTTTGTTCAGCACAGGTCTAAAGACGCTACTGAAGAGCTCATCTTTGAGATCATGCATAACGCCTCCTTCAATTACATTGGCGGCCTGGACGCGTATTGGATCAATTATGTCGAGCCGCGCTTTCATTATATGGACCATGTGTGGGTGAACCCTGCGTATTTCGAGAGGCGCGGTCTTCCCGTTCCCACTTGGACCAAGTCGGCGCCCCCGCCAAAACTAGAGTACCCCCGCCAAGGCCACCTTAACGTCCCAGGACTGGACCAGCTGGAGCAGTGGGAAGGCTCAGGTTCAAGCCCTGGACCGCACGTGTATGGAGAGGCTACCGCTCTCAAGGCGGGGGCCATCCCGTTCAGGTATGGATCCCCGGGCACTCCGTACGGGCATGGGGAGTGGTACGGAGGAGGAGGCGGGGGGCAATGGGATCCTCGCTGGAACTGGGATGCGGGCTACACCTACGATCAGGAGGTCAGCAAGGTGAGGGCGTACATGGCGAAGGCGAAGCAGGACGCCGCGGCCACGGAGTCGGTGGCCAAGGCGCACCGCGTGGCGCCCACGCGGCTGTCGTCGGTGCGGGACCGCTGAGCTCGCCCGCCCGCTCGGCGACGGCGCCCCCTGGTTACGTGCTGGCCTTGCCCCACCATGCGTCCCTCGCTCAGGGCAGCACGCTCAGGCTCGTTTTCCGCCTCATCCCCTCTCCTCTCGCACTGCAGCGCAAGTGAGCCTGCCATTCCCGCGATTGGAAAACTTGCGGCGCCGATAGAGAACTGTCGCGCCGTTGCTCGGAGGGAATCGCGTGTCCCCACCAGCCCGTCTGGCGACCAGTGTCTCGATCACCTTTTGCGTGGTCTCACGTTCGATGCCCTTGCCTGGCGTGGTCTCGTGTCGTTCGGGCGCGTGCGGTCGAATCCGTGATGGTCGGGCTTGGTGCTATGGATTCCAACTTGTGTGTGTTGATCTTCCTTGATGCGCGACCTGCTTCCATCTGATTGTGGATCTCTGCGCGCAAGGGTTGGCAGTCTAAACGTGTGCGGTTTCTCCCGCAGCTGATTCCAGAATACTTAGACCCAACCCCTTTGTTCGCTCTCTTCTTCGGCCTCCGCTCTGACGAGATCGGCGGCCTAATCCTTCTCTCATGTTCCCGCCTCCGCTTACCCGTTGCCCATGTATTCCCTCCCTGGCCTAACCGAGGTAGGTCTTTAGAGCCCCCTCCCGAAAACAAAAGAATGGAACTTGATTGTCCTTTCGACGCCCTTCTTGACGGACTGGAGTCCCACCAATGGAGAATAATCGTTTCTCCACGGCACCCGCCGTGCAACAACGACGACGACGACGACTACGACTAGAATTGCGACTACGGCTACGGCTACGACTACGACTACAAGTAGTTAGCCTGTTAGCCACCGCATCTACAATTAAGACTACGACTACAACTACGAGTACGAGCACGACTACGATTACGACGACGACTACGACTACGACGACTACTACAAGTTATGTCTCAGGAGAACGAGGAGGACAAGGAGGAGGAGGAGGAGAAGGAGGAGGAGGAGGAGAGGAGGAGGAGGAGATGCGGAGATGATTCCCCGCCGAGAGAAACGGGGGGGAGAGCAAAACTAGAGACTAACCTCGATCAGCTTTCCAGAAGTAGACACTCTAATACTAGGAGGTTGGATACACATCACGCGGCAGGCCTGGACGAGAGCTGGATACATGTACGGCCAGATGTCTTTCCAGCGTTCAGCCCATTGTGGCTGTGTCCGCCAGGCTTCAGCACGTGCATCCAGCGCGCGCGTGAGACCTCTAGATGCTCCACATGTGAATCCAGCCGTGCATGGCCCCGTTCGATCCGATCGGTTTGATCCGATGCCAATTTCAGCCAGTCCAATCCGATTCGATTCCGATCAGATTCCGGTGGTTTGATACAGCCTGATACTTGCAGTTTTAGTGCTGTGTGCATCTTGGCGCAGCCGATCCGCTCCGATCTGGTCTCCGTGCCGATGCAGCCCGATCCGACGCACATTTGGAGTCGACCCGATGTCCAGATCCGATGCCGACGGATCCAGCCGTTTGCGCTCCTGTGCCCCTCCCGCCGGCCGGCCGGGCCGCGGGCGGGCCCCCGCACAGAAAAGCCGGCGGGCCCCGGCAGGGCGCGCAGCCCGCGCAGAAGCCGCGGGCCCCTCACCCCTCCGAGCGGGGATGACCTATACCCCGCTTTCGCTTCCAGGCAAAGCCAGGTCATACCACGCGCCTCCTCGTCAAGCGGCCTGGCCAGTGCAGGCCGTGGTTTGGCATCGCTCGGTATCTCCTGGAAGCGAGGGTATAGCCAAAAGCGAGGTATAGGTTTGTTTCCCCCCTCACCCCGGCAGTGCCAAGTGGGGTCGCCAGAGACCGTTTGCTATCTTCTCGCGAGACCGGGCGCGGCCAAGGAGCCCAGACCCCCCCGCGCTGTGAAAAAAACACGACGGGAGGGTTCTTATGTTCTTCGGCCTCCGGGGGCCCTTCTTAGTCTTCTGGGCCGTCAAAGACAGGGTCCAGACCATGTGGGGGTCGACGCAATGAAGAAATCATGACGTCGGGGGTCTGGGGGCGAGGAAGAAGGGGCCCGTCACGTCACGATTCACGCCGGCGCCGGCGCGGATCGCACGTGACCAAGAGGAGGAGGGCGGGAGAAGGGCGGGGCCGGTCACGGGTGCTGCCGCGAGTGCTAGAGGAGGACGGGCTCCGACCAGGGGGAGTGCTCTGGGAGCTCCCCTCTCCTCGAGGGGTTGGCAGGCGCCCGGCCCGAAAAATACAGGAATGGCACAAGCACAAAACCTCCGATGTCCGCGCGGATGTCTCGGATCCGCGCCGGACCCCGGCGCCGGAGGCGCCGCCAGGGGGCACCGGCGCCGATGCGAGAATTCCGCGCGGACCTCCGAGTTCTTGTGCTCCTGCCATTCCTCGTTCCCCTTGGCACTGCCCGGCTCGCCCTGCCTCCCCTCGGCGCGCGCTGCGGCCCCTGCCTGCCGTGGCGCGGCGCGTGGCGGCGCATGGTGGCGGGGGCGGCCGGGGCGGGCGCGGCCGAGCCCCCCCGCCGGGGGCTCTCGAGCCCGTGGGGCCGTGCCGAGCTCTCGTCGGCCGGCCCGGGCGCGGGCGGGGTCTGTGCCGTGAAGGCGCCGAGGGGGAGGAGCGGAGGCAACGGCAGGAGGCCTTATATTCGTCAAGAAGAAAACAGGACAGCGCACGTGAGCATCTAAACTTGTGGCGCTCCGCGCGGATTTCTTGGATCGGCGTTGCGGCCCCCCTGGCGTCGCCTCCAGAGCGCCGCCCCTGGCGCGCTCCGCGCGCCAGGGAGGGGGGTTCCAGCGCGGTTCCAAGAAACCCGCGCGCAGCGCCAACAATTTATGTGTATGGCGTTTTTTCTTCTAACACTTCGTGGGGGCCCTTCGTTGCCGCGGCGGGGCGCAGTTCGGAAAATTGAAGCGTGCGGGGCCCCAGGAGGGGTCCGGGGATCGGTTCTGAGCTGTCGGCGTCTCGGCACGCCTTGCTCCAAGGCCGGCTCCTCCGAGACCTTCGGCAGCGCGCGCGGGGACGGCTTCGCCAAGAGGCTCAGCTTCACGGACTCCGCGTGCGCGTGGTTGTGTAGGGCGGTGGGCGAGCCGTGGTTCTCTAGGCCTCCTAGATGGGGTCGGAGTGGATGGGGTCGGAGGATCGCGTCGCATCGCCGATGCATCGGCGGTGCGGCTCGATGTGGAACCCGGCTTTCTCCACGCCGATGGCGCCGATGCCTGCCCCACGCCGCCGATGCATCGCCGATGCATCGCCGATGCATTGCCGATACATCGGCGATGAGGCGCGATCCTCCGACCCCGTCTACTCCGACCCCATCTAGGAGGCCTCCAGGTTTGAGGGTCTGATCGCCGTTCTCATATTGGCCAACTCTGTCACCATCGGCTTCGAGGTGGAGAATCTGACTGGGCGGGCCCAGTTCTACCTGCCAGTGAAGGGTGCGCTCGACAACTTCTTCGCGACCGTGTTCCTCGCGGAGTTGTGCCTGAGGGTCGCCGTGGTTGGCTGGAGGAGCTACGTTCCAGGCTGCGGTGCGCCCAAGCGCATCTGGGTCTGGAATCTTCTGGAGGCGATCGTGGTGCTGGTGTCGTGCGCGTCGGCCTGGTTGCCCGGTTTGAATGCCGCTGGGGAGGCGACGCTGCAGGTGGTCACCGTCCTGCGCGCAATGCGCCTCATGCGGGTGGCGCGGATCGTGTCGCGGGTGCGGTTCTTCCGCGAGGTGTGGGTTCTCCTCCGGGGCCTGGTGGGCAGCGTGCGGGTGCTGTTCTGGACTCTGGTCGTCATCTTCATCGTCACCTACATCTTCGCTGTGTTCGGCGTCGCCCTGCTCAGCGTCGAAATAGAGGCAGCATATGCCGACATGCTTTCTGAGAGGGAGAGGGCCATGCGCAATCTCACTGAGCACACGGACTGCAGGAAGGCGGCCGAGGGCGCACTCGCATGGGCGGGAAGCAAGCCAGAATTCGTCCGACTGGAGACCTTGTACCGCAGCACCCGTGGGATCTGGCAATGGATCTTCACCCTGCTCCAGGTTCTCACCGTGGACTCCTGGAACTCGATCGCGCGGCCCATTCAGGACATAGTTGACTTCAGCTTTGTGTTTTTCTACCTCTACATTGCGATCGTTGTCTTTGTCCTGATGAACCTAGTTACGGCCAGCTGAAGGGCTTCGCCCTCTGCCGCCGACCCTCCTCAGACTGCTTGCATGGCCACGCCTGATCGGTAGGTTAATTGGTTTTCTTGTCGGTTGGCTGGCTGGCAACTCGGCTGGTTATCGTCTGCCTAAACTGATGGTTGGCAGGTGATTTAGGCGGCTTGCTGTCTGGCTGGTTGCGCGCGTCTGTAGGAATAAGTTCGGGTTGGTGGTCTCGGGAGCGCGCTTGCACCGTAATCTACTAGGGTGCGCGGCTGTGGGAGCGCGCACCCCTATCTATGTTCGAGCACTCGCGGCCTTTTGTCCAGAGCCGAGGTCTGCGGAGCCGACACGAGGGAGGGGGGACAACGCCCCCCGAACACACATTCTTCGATCAAGAGAATGTAATCTTCCTGTTCTGGGCAGGGATCGGCGTCACCCCAATATACTAATACTATGTGCGCGCCGCCCCTCGCAGGGGCGACGCGCGCACCGGGAAATTTTACAGAATATGCGTCGTGGCGGGCGTTTTCTGGCGACACTGCTCGGGAAACGCTGTACCAAGGTAGTTCTGGTGTATGTCCAGGTCGGACGCGCGCCTCCAAGGAGGACCCATAGTCCTAGCATGAACGGCGCTGTGCGTCCCAAGGGAAGGCCTTCGGGGCAGCCCCCGTGGAGTGGGTGCGTGGCTTCGGGAGTGCCAGCGCGGCTTGCAAGGGCGCGCGGCCTCGGGCGGGCAACTCCGCAGCAATCGATGAGGGGTAACGGCGCCGAGGACGCGAAGCCGAAGAGAAGTATGACGGGCTGTGGCTTCGGGATCTCGTTCGCGCCGTAAGCTGCAAGAGATTTCGACCTTGGGGGCGCGAGCCCGTTGTGATGTACCGCGTGCTGTGGCACCGGGAGCGCGCACACGCTGACATCTACAAGAGAGTGCGGCTTCGGGAGCGCGGGCCGATTACAATTTGGCAGGGGTTGTGATTTCGGGGACGCAACCTTGCTGAAGCTACAAGGGATTGTGGCCTCGCGGATCTGTATCTGCTGTACTGGACGTGTCCCACGGCCAAGAGCATCATTCTCAAGAAACGACGGGGGAATCGAAAAGCGCCCCCCCCCCCCCCCCGAACACATACTTCGATACAGAAAGTGCAAGCGTTCTGCCCTGGAGAGGGAGATGCATGTTTGGGCAACCTCCGTCAGGAGTGCTCGTGGCCTCGATTGCGCAGCCTTGTTGTATAGTGGAGACCGATGCCCAGAAGCACCCTGCTTGCCTCCAGGGCTCCCTGGATTTCCTGGGCTTCGATGGTTTTGCGATAGAAAAGCGTGAGGACGCAGTAATTTTCTGACCGTCCTGAGGTCTCAGGGCCAGGTTTCGTGTGGGAGGTTCCCTGTGGTCGAACCCCCGCTGCAAGCTGCGCGGTACCTGTGGCCTCGGGAACGCGAGAGCGCGCCGGACACCGCGAGGGACCGTGGCCTCGGGAGCGCGAGGACGCAGTAACTTTCTCCGGGCGTGTGTGTGGCTTCGACTGACCCCTGAGCCGCCCGCTCCGTCCCTGCTTTTCCTTCGGCCTATGTCCTCTCCTCGCTCCTCCCCATCCTCCTTCTCCTCCTCGCTCCTCGCTCCTCCTCCTCCTCCTCCTCCTCCTCCTCCTCCTCCTCCTCCTCCTCCTCCTCCTCCTCCTCCTCCTCCTCGCTCCTCCTCCTCCTCCTCCTCCTCCTCCCCTCCTCCTCCTCCTCCTCCTCCTCCTCCTCTCCTCCTCCTCCTCCTCGCTCCTCCTCCTCCTCCTCCTCCTCCTCCTCCTCCTCCTCCTCCTCCTCCTCCTGCACAGTGGCACAATTCGCTATAGCGGCATCCCCGTTGAAGCCCCTCATCGCCAGCACAGTCACCCTCTGCCTGGCCGCCGACGCTAAAAGCGTGTGTGGCTTCGGCAGTGCGAGCTCGCGGCTTCGGGAGCGCGAGCCCGTGGTAGGTTGCAGAGGACTGCAGCCTCGGGGGCGCGAGTGTGCTGTATCTGTATGTGTCCCAGCGCCCCTGGGGATCCAGACGAAGGGATTCTGAGAGGAGCCTGGGGCGCTTGTCGGGCTCCCCCTCGCACGGACTTCAATCGTTACGGCATTGGAGTCCGAAAACATAACATAGCTCTTACTTGGGAGCTGGAACTGCTGCAGGGAACAGGAACACCTCCGCCTTGCAGCCTGTTGCCCCTCAAGGGGGTCGGCGGGTTATAGTCGACAACGCGCTGCTGAGGTCTCGGGAGGACGAGAAGCAGGTCATGAAGCAGAAGATGCGAGAGCAGAGAAAGGCGGAGAAGCGCTGCAGGATGATGTTCAATGCGATCGACGAGGACGGCGACGAGAGGCTGACCATCGAGGAGCTGAAGAGCGCGTGTGCCGACCCCTACCTCGGGGTGCAGCTCCAGGTCCTCGACATCACGAGCGAAAACGCGGACGAGATCTTCAGGATGCAGGGGCGCCCTCAAGGGCGCCAAGTGATTCGCGCTTCGCGGTTCGGCTCCGATTCCCTCTCGCCCTCCACTTCTCCCCTGGGAGGCGGCGCGAGAGCGCGAAGTTGTCCGCACTTCGCGCTTCGCGCAGCGCGAAGCGCGAAGTTGGGAGCCCCTGAGGATGATGGACACTGGCGACGGTGTCCTCTCGCTCGAGGAGTTCTTCGAGGGCACCAGGCGCCTCCAGGGCCCCGCGGAGGCGAGGGACGTCCAGCGCGTGCTCGGGCTGCTGCAGAGGCTCTCGCGGGCCTGCGCTCTGGAGCGCCCCTCCTCGGCTCCCGACGAGGCGCTCCTGGCCGCCCGAGTCGACAGCGTGTGCAGGGCGGCCGCGGCGCTCGAGAGCATTACGATCGGGCTGGGCGGCGGCGGCCCAGGGCCCTGAGGCTGGCCATCGCAGGATGCGTCGTCAGGCGTGGGCGATCGTGGAGGGCATGTGCGGGAGGGGGTTCGCCTTCTCTTGCCGTTGAAAGACCAGCAAGTGCAACACGCGTCGAGAAACCATTTTGCATGACCCCCCCCCGTCCGCTCTCTGACCTTCACGTTGAACCAGCGCTCCTGCAGGCGCGGGGCCAGAAAAGCGTGAACCCAACATCTCGAACGCAATACTTGCAGATGCTAAGGCCGGGGGGGGGGATGGGGGGAAGTTCGGGCATTGCTGTTCCAACGGGTTTCTTTCAGCCGTGCCTTCTCGCGCGCACGCAGACTTTGTACATTACGGGTGCATCTCGACTGCTCTTCCCGCGTTCGGCCAGAGCGCCGCAAGCGTTGGTGCAGGAGCTCCGCGGCGCGAGAAAGGGCGCCGCGCTGAGCACATGACTCAAAGGCGAGACCCTCGACACTAGTTGCATCTCCGAGAGCTGCCTCCAAGGTTATTGCTTTGCCCAGCGATTGCGTCAAGGCGGGAGCGAACATGCTCTTGAGCTTGCAGCATGCTCTTGAGCTCTTGAGCTGCGGCCCCATCACGAACAAGAGTCTTCCACGACCCCATCGACGTATCTCCGCGCAGCGTGCATCTTGCACCACAGCCTGCCAACCCTGGCTCTGCGAGCACCGCAGCTCGGACGACCACCGCGCCGCTCCTGTACTCTGGCAAGGCTCGGCGGCGAGCGAGGGGGGGGAAGTGAGAAGGAGAAGGCCTCCACAGAAGATTCGGAAGTCCCCCGGCCTTCTGAGAAGTTTTCTAAGCCCCCCCCCCGCAGGCAGAACAAGAAACTCCTCAGAAGGCGCGAGAGCTTCTGACAAGTCCGGCCGCCTTCTGAGAAGGCCCTCTCCGTCTCACGTCCCCCTCTCGCTCGCCGCCGAGAGACCGCACGGCTCTCCCGCTCGCCCGCGGCCCCCGTGCCCGCCCGAGCGGCCGCCACCTCGCACCGCGACCCCCAAATGTGTGCACGATGGTGCAGGCCTGGCCGGTGGCAACACCGGCATAGCTCTGCCTCTCACCTCACTGTACGCTGCCCTGAAGGCGCACGCGTCTCTGGGGGGGTCACCGCCCACCAAACCACCCCAACCCAACCCGAAGGCCCCAATTTGCCCTCCATTTCCAGTGGGGGGGGGGTCGGGGAACATTGAAGAAACACATGGGACCCGTACCCCCCCCCCAACCCGAAATCCGGGTCAAATTCGGGTCTTCGGGTTGGGTTGGGGTGGTCTGGTAGGTAGTCAGGGGGGCATCCCGGCTCATAGTGCGGGCGCTGTCCCCCCAGGGGGTGGGCCTATGCGGATAAGGCTCGCTGGTACGGCCATCCCTCTCTCGTAGCTGCCCGGAGCCCGAGGCCGCGGCACAGAGCCCACGAGCACCGTCGCGGCCCTCGGTGCGCCGCCCTGCCTCCCTCCCGCACTCCTCCTCCTCCTCCTCCTCCTCCTCCTCCTCCTCCTCCTCCTCCTCCTCCTCCTCCTCCTCCTCCTCTCCTCCTCCTCCCGTCCTCCTCCTCCTCCTCCTCCTCCTCCTCCTCCTCCTCCTCCTCCTCCTCCTCCTCCTCCTCCTCCTCCTCCTCCTCCTCCTCCTCTCTCCTCCTCCTCCCTCCTCCTCCCCTCTCCTCCTCCTCCTCCTCCTCCTCCTCCTCCTCCTCCTCCTCCTCCTCCTCCTCCTCCTCCTCCTCCTCCTCCTCCTCCTCCTGCCCTCTCCCTCTCCTCCCCTCTCCTCCTCCTCCTCCTCCTCCTCCTCCTCCTCCTCCTCCTCCTCCTCTCCTCCTCCTTCTCCTCCTCCTCTCTCCTCCCCTCCCTCCTCATCCTCTCCTCCTCCTCCTCCTCACCTCCTCCTCCTCATCCTCACCTCATCATCATCCTCCTCCTCCTCCTCATCCAACCTCTCTCCTCCTCCTCCTCCTCCTCCTCCTCCTCCTCATCCTCCTCCTCCTCCTCCTCCTCCTCCTCCTCCTCCTCCTCCTCCTCCTCCTCTTCCTCCTCTTCCTCCTCTTCCTCCACGCACGCACGCACGCATGCACGCTCGCACGCATGCACGCTCGCATGCACGTCATCGAAACATGCACGGGGAATGGACGTCCGAGCGATGGCCGGTCCGCAGCCGTCTGGCCCCCGCTCTCCCGGTTGTAAAGTTTGGCCCTGCCGCGGCCCCGTGTAGGCCTCGACCTCGCCGCGCGACCGCCGGCGCTGCGACCGAAGAGGTGTCCCGGTCTGCCTGAGGATGCCGCCGAGCTGTGTGCAGCCCGTCGGGGGCAGATCCGCGGATGCGCGGGTGGTTCATCCTCCTGTGGTCTGTGGCGGTCTGGCCTGTCTGTGTTTTGGGTCGGTTTCTTCGTGGGGGGTCCTTTCTCTGGCGTGGTCGGGGCTTATCGTCCCGCCTGGTGTGGCACGACATAGGACAGTGTCGTATGGTTGTGTCTGATCTGTTCTGGTTCTGGACGATCGGATCTTGACAAGCGGGTCCGGCGGTGGTTTGGAAACGAAGCGGAGGAGGAGTGGGCGAAGCATTCGCGCCAGATCGAACGTAGCGTCGCACAGTTTTAGAGCTGTTCGCCAGCATCTTGGGGCCCTCCTCGGCCGACTTGTGTTAAGCACTTGTGTTCTAGCATTGATGGCCTATCAGGTGTGTGCAATCGTCTTGGGGTCATCTGGATGGCGTCGAGGTCCTTTGGTGGCTTTTGGGATGCGTCTGGCCGTCCACGGGCCTCCATAGGCCTTCGTGAAATTATATTGGGGCCCCGTCAGGCCGTCTTGGGAGCCGGCCGGTGGTTTCTACGGGTTTCTCACATCACCTTGATTTTCTCTTGGACGGCTTTGGGGGGCCTCTTGAGAGGCGCCCGGGGGGCTTAATGGGCCCTCTTGCAAGTCTCGTGGGAACCCTTCAGGCAGTTTGGGGGCCATAGGGGGAACGGCCTTGTATGAGGCCCCTCGAAATCTCTTGGAAGCATATTAGGAGTCTCCTGGGTCGCCTGTCTTGGGGTCTCCTAAAAGAGTTTTGGGGGCATGTGGGAGTTTCCTGAAGGCGTCTGCTGAGACAGCTGCTGGCCTCTGGGAGGCCATCTTGGATACGAACAACTGCTCAACACATTGCGCTCTACTGTAGTTGCTGATCGTCAGCAGCTTCAGTCTTAGAAGCGACAATGGTGTTTTTGAGCCAAGAGATCCACCAAAGTGGTAGCCGCGGGGTCCCGCCCCTCGGCCACAACATCGGCGTGTCACGCCCGCGTCTTCGCCTCGGCAAAGCAAGACGCAAGAGAGGCCCAAGAAGGGCGCGGGCCTGGGTGCCCCCACGAGGACCCCCAAAGCGCGAGATCCACCAAAGTGGTAGCCGCGGGGTCCCGCCCCTCGGCCACAACATCGGCGTGTCACGCCCGCGTCTTCGCCTCGGCAAAGCAAGACGCAAGAGAGGCCCAAGAAGGGCGCGGGCACGGGTGCCCCCACGAGGACCCCCAAAGCGTCCCTCAGAGGACCTCAAGAGGGCCCCAGGAGAGCTCCAAGTCACGAAACGGCCAACAGGACCGGCCAACTGTACGTGTCTTGACGCCGCGCTGGCCGCAAGACGACCCCAGGAGGGCCCCTCAGGCTCCAAGAATCCCCAAGGGAGCCCCAAAATGACCCAGACAGAGCCCCAACAGGGCTTCGGAAGACCCCTCCAACACTCAAGCCCGAGGATCCACCCAAGAAGGATTCTTATTGTGTGTCCCGTCCTGGGTAGCGAATATGCCACGTCATGAGCGTTGGACTTGGCAAAGTTCGAAGATCATTTCGTCGACTTCATGACATGGCAGTAGCTTGCCTGCAACGTTCGTTCTTCAGGAGGGGTGCATTCCACTGCGTATCTCCCAACGCCGTCTCCACTTGTGGGGCGGGTGCGGCCTCCGCGCGCGATCGGGCCTGGCCTTGCCTGGCCC